AAATTGCCACTCAAGTGCCACCTGGTACTGGACAATGCTCCTGCTCATCCTCCAAACTTAGTAGACCAATTGTCTATGGGAGTTAATTTTTTAAGTGAAATTCTTGCCTCCTAACACCACTCCTCTCATCTAGCCCATGGACCAGCAGGTCATTTCTAACTTCAAAAAACTACAAGAAAGCAATGTTTCAAAGGTGCTTTGAAGTGACCTTGGACACTGACTTGACCCTAAGAGAGTTCTGGAGGAATCACTTCAATATCCTCTATTGCATAAGCCTTATAGGTAAGGCTTGGTAGGAAGTGACTTCCAGGACTTTGAACTCTGCTTGGAGAAAACTGTGGCCAGAATGTGTCCTCCAGGGTTTTGAAGGGTTTGAGGCTGACCCTGACCCTGTCGACCCTCTGCCTGTTGTGGAAAGTATCGCATCTTTGGGGAAAGTCCATGGGGTTGAAGGTGAGTGGCGAGGATGTGGAAGAGTTGGTGGAGGACCACAGTGAAGAGCTAACTACTGAAGAGCTGCAAGACCTTCATCTGCAACAGCAACAGACCACAGCTGATGAAATTGCTTCAGAGGAGTAGGAGGAGGAGGAGAAAGAGGAAAAGAGGGAAGAATGTGCCTTCTTCAGTGATTTAGGATGTGTGTGCAAAGTGGAGCGAGTTGCAAAGTTTAGTGGAGAAATGTCATCCTGACCAAACTCAAACAAGCTATATCTGCAACATGTTCAGTGATAAAACCTTGTCTCACTTCAGGCAAATCTTAAAGAGATGCCAGAAACAGACCTCTCTGGACAATTTTTTTGTGTGACAAGGGTGCAGTGACTCCCAAGCTGGTCCTAGTACCAGTAAAAGACAAAGAAGGAAAATAACCCCAGATAGGGACTTGATACCTGAAGTCCTTATGAGGGGGATTCCCCTTCCATACAATAACCCCAAAACTTTGCCTTCTCCAATATGCCAAAAAGGGTCTTCAATAAGGGTATGTAATGTTCATTTATCATTAAAATTTGTGTTCTGTATTTTCTCATTGTTTTGTGTATGTAAAACTATGGTTAATCTTCAAAAAATTTATTTTTTGTTAATATTTTTGGGCGTTTGGAACAGATTAATTGTATTTACATTAATTCTTAAGGGAAATATTACTTCGGCTTTTGGCCTTTTCGGATTTAGGCCGACCTTCTGAAACGGATAACGGCCGAAATCAGAGGTCCCACTGTAAATATCTTCCAAGGTATGATATAGCACGTAATGAAAGTAGTTTGTTAGAATATGCATTCGTGGATAAAAGGTCGATGGGTAGGCTTCAAGATGTACATGTTTATAGAGGGGCAACGGATATATCGGATCATTGTTTAGTTGTAGCTACAGTTAGAGGTAGATGGGACAAAAGGAAAATGGCAACAGCAAGTAAGAGAGGTGAAACAGTATAACCGAGGGAGGAGGAAGTTAGGGTGAGACATAAGCAACTATTGGCAGAAAGGTGGGCTAATGCAAGTATGAATAGTAGTCGGGTAAACGAGGGTTTGGATAGTTTTAAAAATGCAGCATTAGAATGTGGAGCAGAAGTTTGTGGCTATAGGAGGAAGGAGGAGTGATTGGTGGAATGATGAAGTAAAAAGTGTGATAAAAGAGAAAAAGGTAGCTTATGAGAGGTTTTTACAAAGCAGAAGTGTTATAAAAAGAGCAGAGTATATGGAGAGTAAAAGAAAGGTGAAGAAAGTGGTGACAATAAGAGTGCAAAATGAGAGCAGATGAAAGAGTGGGAGAGGCACTGGCAAGAAATTTTGCTGAAAATAAGGAAAAAATATGGAGTGAGAAACACGTTAAGAAAGCCTAGGGAACGAATGGATTTGTCAGTTAAAAACAGAGTAGGGGAGTTAGTAGATGAGAGCTGGAGATATTTGGTAGATGGCAGAATATTTTGAACTTTTAAATGTCGATGATAAAAGGGAGGCGGTAATTTCATGCACTGGCCAGGGAGGTATAACATCTTTTAGGAGTGAAGAAGAGCACGATGTGAGTGTGGGGGAGGTGTGGGAGGCATTACATAGAATGAAAGGGAGTAAAGCAGCAAGAACTGACGGGATAATGACAAATGTTAAAAGCTGGGAAGAATATTGTGTTGGAGTGGTTGATATTTTTGTTTAATAAATGTATGAAAGAGGGGAAGGTACCTAGGGATTGGCAAAGAGCATGTATAGTTCCTTTATATAAAGGGAAGGGGACAAAAGAGATTGTAAAAATTATAGGGGAAAAAGTTTACCAAGTATACCAGGTAAAGTGCATGGTAGGGTTATTATTGAAAGAATTGGAGGTAAGACAGAGAGTAGGATTGCAGATGAGCAAGGAGAATTTAGAGTGGGTAGGGGATGTGTAGATCAAGTGTTTACATTGAAGCATATATGTGAACAGCATGATAGAGTGGATATGGGAGCAATGTGGCAGAGGTTGCAAGTGTTAGGAATAGGTAGTAAGTTACATTACTTCCCAGTAAAAGTAGGTCTTAGACAAGGATGTATAATGTTACCATGGTTGTTTAATATATTTATATATGGGGTTGTAAAAGAAGTAAATGCTAGGGTGTTGGGCAGAAGGGTGGGATTAAATTATGGGGAATCAAGTACAAAATGGAAGTTGACACAGTTACTTTTTGCTGATGATACTGTGCTTATGGGAGATTCTAAAGAAAAGTTGCAAAGGTTAGTAGACAAGTTTGGGAGGGTGTGTAAAGGTAGAAAGTTGAAAGTGAACGTAGATAAGAGTAAGGTGATGAGGGTTTCAAACAATTTAGATAAAGAAAAATTTGGTATCACATTGGAGAGAGGGAGTACGGAAGAAGTGAATGTTTTCAGATATTTGAGAGATGACTTGTCAGCAGATGGGTTTATGAAGGATGAGGTTAACCACAAAATTGATGAAGAAAAAAGGCGAGTGGTCAGTTGAGGTATCTGTGGAGACAAAAAAACGTTATCTATGGAGGCAGAGAAGGGAATGTATGAAAGTATAGTGGTACCAACACTCTTATATGGGTGTGAAGCTTGGGTTGTAAATGCTGCAGTGAGGAGGTGGCTGGAGGCAGTGGAGATGTCCTGTCTAAGGGTAATGTGTGGTGTATATATTATGCAGAGAATTAGGAGTGAATTATTAGGAGGTGTGGAGGTTTTGTGTGTGAGCGTGTTAGATAGGAGTAAATGGAGACGAATGGTTTTTGGGACTTGACAAGCTATTTTAATGTGAGCAAGGTAATATTTAGTGAAGGGATTCAGGAAAACTAGTTATTAGATTTAGCTAGACTCAAGTCCTGGAAATGGGAAGTACAATGCTTGCACTTTAATCGAGGGGTCAGTAATATTGACAGTTTGGAGGGATTTCTAAACTGTCGTATCTGACCCCCTCTGCAAAGACAGTGATTATGTATGAGGTGAAAGTGTTGAATGATTATAAAAGCATTCCCTCTTTGGGTATTTTCTTCCTTTTTGGGTCACCCTGCCTCGGTGGGAGATGGCCGACTTGTTGAAGATTAGAGAAAAAAAAAATTTGTGTACTGTATATGCATTTTATCAATCTAGGGAGCTTTAAGGTTCATCGTAGTATATTATGTGTGGGTGGGGTGGCCAGGAGTGCTACCACATCTGACTTCTTAAAGTAAATACTACTCACCTTTTGCCCTACATTAAGACTACAAATATTTTGAGGTAAATAATGTGTACTGTGTGTGTATTTTACTTTTTGTTTTTAATACCTAATTCTATTGCTAACTTAATATATGTTAGTGTAAGCCTGTTATCTGACATTTACAAGTGGAAAAAACAGCATTCTGCTATCCGGCAGTAGCCTGGAACCTAACCTGCCGTATAAATAGGGCCCTACTGTATTTACATATGAAGCTCTAAACTTATAGGGGTCATTTAAAGCATGAAATGGTATTATTATAATTTGATTCATGGAAAATGTTATGCCTGTAAGGATCAATCAGTACTACACAACACAGGAGAGAATGGTTTAAAAAAAAAAAAAAAAAAAAGTTGAAAATGCTGTTGGAAAGACTGATAGATCAATAGGCATTCTGAAATAAGACATGCTACTTATCTAGACACTGACAGATCTATAGGAACTGTGAAATAAGACATGCTACTTGAACAAAAAGGCACAATACCATGACTGCAATACACAAATAACCCACACACAGAAGAGAGAAGCTTATGACAATGTTTTGGTTAGATTTTGACCATTTACAAGTCACACATGACTTGTAAATAGTCCAAGTCAGACCAAAACATCATCATAAGCTTCTGTTTCTTATGTGTGGGTTATTTGTGTATATGCTACTTGTTTAGCGTACAAATATTTCAGGGGCTTCTGTCATAGTCATTAACACTCAAATGTAGTATTACTTAAAAATGCTTGAAAAACTTCTGCCTATGACCTGATTTATCCAATGTCTATGGGAAACCAAGTATAGTGGACCCTCGACCAACGATGGCATCGTCTAACGTTAAATTCGACTAACGATATGTGTTAACGCTAACACGTTGCCTCAACTAATGATAAAAAAAACTCTACTAATGATATTCGTACTCGGACACCAATTAATATCGTTAGTCGAGGGTCCACTGTACAGTGGAAAATATGTAAAAGCAAACTGCAAAATATATGGAATAAAATATTGTTTCAGAGTAACAGATAATCATGATGCTCAAACTCAGATTAACACTCAAATGTAATATTACTTAAAAATGCTTGAAAAACTTCTGCCTATGACCTGATTTATCCAATGTCTATGGGAAACCAAGTACAGTGGACCCTCGACCAACGATGGTATCGTCTAACGTTACATTCGACTAACGATACACTATTTAGATAAGCATACTGGTCAGAAAGCCCATTGTAAGTCTGAGTCATCGGTAAAAGAGTATGTCGCAAACTGAGGAGAGGCCGTATATCATCGGGTCAGAACCAAATAAAAAAGTTCTACTAATTGCCTAGGTTGAAAATCAACTTACTTATTTTTAATGCTGACTGCAGAAGTGAAATCCCTTTCTGTTAATGCTGTACGGAAATTTGCTACTGAAGGCTCCTTTTCAATAATGTTCTGCTTTGCTTCAGGCATAATAAAGGGAACCTCATGGCCATTTTCCTTGAGAAATTCTCCCAGTCTGATTAGAAAAGTTTCACTAGGTTCAATATTCTCCTCCTGCATAGACGTCCAAATTCCCAGGGCCTTTTCACATTCATTTTGTTGTTCTAGGGGAATGAAAAATGAAGATTAATATATTCTAGATTACATTCATTTATCTGGAAAGGTCTCTAGAAATTTTGCTTTATTGATTACAAATCATACATATGCAATTAGGCCAAGACATACTTTAGTAATAGTCAAATATAGAGTTGAGCAAAGTTATGAAGCAGAGTTGTGGAAAGGAAACCAGAGAGAATAGTATTTAGGGAGTAAAAAAAAAAAAAAAAAAAAGTCTAAAATAAAAGATCTACTAATAACCAATAACTCAAACCTACCTCCTAGGGCACAAACAGATTAACATCAGCAGCAGCTCAGCTTGAAAACTTATGAGTGGCAAAGTCTTGTCATACATAAAAAGTTACCTCAATCAAACGACACATTCATGAGTATGCAACACTGGTGTGGAACCCTCCCCTAGCAAAACATGAAGTGAAATTTGAGAAAGTATAATGGTTAATTTTTATATAGCTGGACTTGAGTACTGGAAATGGGAAGTACAATGCCTACACTTTGAAGGAGGGGTTTGAGATATTGGCAGTTTGGAGGGATATGTTATATATCTTTATATATGCTTCTAAACTGTTGTATCTGGGTGCCTCTGCAAAAACAGTGATTATGTACGAGTGAGGTGAAAGTGTTGAATGATAAAAGTATTTTGTTTTTGGGGATTTTCTCTCTTTTTGGGTCATCCTGCCTCAGTGGGAGATGGCTGACTTGTTGAAAAAAAAAAAAAATAATAATGGATAGCATTAAGATTGGTGCCTGAGATGAGGACCAATGAGCAAAAAAAATGAGAGAACTGACACAGACATTATGGGCATGTAACAGCGGCATTATTGAATGTAGCTCAATTGCTAGAGCATTCAGCTCACACAATGAGGTCTGGAGTTCGAATCCCCAGTACGGCTGGATAACATTACGATGTGTTTCCATAAGACACCTGCTGTCCATGTTCACCCATCAGTATAAAATGGATACCTGGATGTTAGTTGACAGGTGTGGGTTGCATCCTGGGACAAAATTAACCTAATTTGCCTGAAATGCTCTGCATAACAAGTGGCTTTCTATACAGTAGTATGTCACTGATGTCAGCTAAGCCTGTATACCTTGTACAAGTACTTGTACGAATGAAGATATTTTATTATTATAACCTAGAATAACCAAAGAGTCAAGCAATATACAGGCAAGCTCTACTTTACAGTGCTTTACTTTATGGTGTTTAGCTAATACAGTAGTTTTCAATTATATCCATTCTTCATTTATTCAGACTTCCTACAATAAACATATTCACCTCTTATTAGTAGCTAAGGACGAGAATATTTTAAGGTTAAGTAATGTGTGTACCATAAATGCATTTATTAAGCCTAGCTCTATTACTCACTTAATATATGACAGGGTAAACATGTTATCAGGCTTTTATATACATTTGAAAGTGAAAAAAAGCCTGTTTCACTTTACAGCAGTCCCCTGAAACCCAACCTGCTGTATGCAGATCTCACCTGCAACTTATTTCCATGTTTCAAGGGGGGCAACATACTTTGAAACAATTGCAATATCATAAGATTTCCTCATAAATAGGGTTAGCAGACAAAAGCTATCAAAAGAAACAAAAATATATCTGTACCAACTCATATATTCTAATGTCATAAGAGACTAGTTTAAAAACCATTAGACATTAAAAATCCAAGAAAACAATGATGAAACTATCATTAAGCACATTTATGCCAACTGCTGCTGACAAGTGATGATTTTGGCCAAATTCAACATACTGTAAATTTTCATCTGACTTCATTTTTCCTGTGGTTCTATTTAGAAATATATGCTCTTTAAGACTATGAATTTTTTTTTAATGTTTTAACACATATGGGGGAGGGGGGAAATAAAAATTGTTGAGGCCTGCCTACCACAGTTAAAAGGCTAAAAAAAAAAAACTCAGAAATTTTAAATTTAGCACTTTTCTATATTATCAAACATGGGAAAAAATACTTTAATTTTTAAAGTCATACTACATTAGAAATACACGTACTATAATTCATACTCACTATAACCCGTCAGCAAGTGCATGTACATCATATTTCTGTCCAGATCAAAGACATCACGAGTGACAGTGACTAGATGCTCAAGTTCCAATAGTCTGCCAGTCTCCAGGAACCTCTGGCATTGAATATTCAACTTGGTGTTGAAGGCTCGCAAACCTGGGGTCTGAAAAGCCAGGCTCGCATAAATTACACTTAGAGTATATTTTTAAACTTAATGAGAGTTATAAAACATATCTTATACCTTCTATACACCCTTATTCTTTCTACAAACATATCATGTAATTCTCTCTCCCCCCAATCACTCAGCATTTCATTTACCAGATGCGTCCAAGTTTTGGCTCATGAGCCTCATGCAACTTGACTGCCCATTCAATGGGACTCACAAAACAATACAGTACGTCCTCATCTAACATTGTCGATAGTTTCTTGGAAACTGAGACTAAGCAAAGCAACGAACGTATAACGAAACACACCTTGCTGTCCATTGTCAAACCTCTTCAAAACTTCTAGTTTTGTGTTAAAATAGTTTAAAAAACAATAAATTGATAAATGAGAGATGAGGAGGAGTTTGAGGCAATCAGTCCCTCAGCCTAGTCAATATGTTTAGTCCATCAATCTTGATGGACTGAACACATTGACTCTAGGTTGAGGGACTGATTACCTCAAACTTCTCATCTTTCACCTTTTTCTGCACTGGACTGAAGGAGCCACTGTGTGGCAAAACGTTTCCAGAATCAAGATTCCCAAATGTTGCAAGAGTATCTCACATTTATCACTTATAGTTTAAGCTTCTAATGTCACACTTTTTCTCTATTTTTTGTGGCCACAGACATCAGGGGTGCACAGTGTAACTTTAACACTCATTGCAACAGGGTTAAATCAAAGAATAAATGTTCACATAAGGAGCACCTCCTACCACCACAGTTTAACCCGTAAACGGTCCAAACGTATATATACGTTTGGAAAGCATGCAAAAAAAAATAGATCTTCTTTTTGTTTTTTTTACATTTGAAAATGTGTAAAAAACTTTGATCTACTTTTTTTTTTGTTATATTTGAAAATATATAAAAAAAACGAAACTACTTTTGTAGCACTATACATGTGAACGTAGATCTGCTTGGACCGTTTACGGGTTAAAAACAACAAACAAATATGGTGGGCCCGATGAGCGCTTTTGTACAGTATCATTTATAGTAGTGCATTTGTATGATTATCATATACTTTACGAAATTTTTACTGTCCTGTCTCCACACAGACAGTGGCCCTGGTCAGGAATCGATTTTTTCTCATCAATGTGATAATGAAACGACGTTGAAGGAAACAATGTTAGTTGAGGATTTACTATATCTAGAGCAGGAAGAGGAGCTGCACTGAATGAGAAAATGAACTATGTGAAGCTCACTAGCCACAACTTGGCCACATCTGTTATACACCTTCCTAACCATGTTAAGGCCTTTTCATCTGTAATTAATAAATTAAATTTTTCTCCATCTTTGCATAATGAAATAGGACAAACTTGAAAGAGCCAAGCTTAAAATGGAAAACTGCAAAGGACTAAACTTCCCTGAGTCACTAGGTAAAAAATAAATCATGAGGATATGTAACACCAGCCTGAGGCGGTGCATTTCACTGGACTGACCCTATCAAGCTTAAGATAGTGCACATAACCAAGATGCACATTTTTAAACATGTTACTGGTCAGTATTTTTATATTTAAATTTGCAGACATATTAATATATGTAGGTAGTAGGTTGGTAGACAGCAACCACCCAGGGAGGTACTACCGTCCTGCCAAGTGAGTGTAAAACGGAATCCTGTAATTGTTTTACATGATGGTAGGATTGCTGGTGTCTCTTTTCTGTCTCTTAAACATGCAAGATTTCAGGTATGTCTTGCTACTTCTACTTACACTTAGGTTACACTACACATAAATGTTTTTTTTTTTTTTTTTTTTCAACAAGTCGGCCGTCTCCCACCGAGGCAGGGTGACCCAAAAAAGAAAGAAAATCCCCAAAAAGAAAATACTTTCATCATCATTCAACACTTTCACCACACTCGCACATTATCACTGTTTTTGCAGAGGTGCTCAGAATACAACAGTCTAGAAGCATAAACATATAAAGATACACAACATATCCCTCCAAACTGCCAATATCCCAAACCCCTCCTTTAAAGTGCAGGCATTGTACTTCCCATTTCCAGGACTCAAGTCCGACTATATGAAAATAACCGGTTTCCCTGAATCCCTTCACTAAATATTACCCTGCTCACACTCCAACAGATCGTCAGGTCCCAAGTACCATTCGTCTCCATTCACTCCTATCTAACACGCTCACGCACGCTTGCTGGAAGTCCAAGCCCCTTACCCACAAAACCTCCTTTACCCCCTCTCTCCAACCCTTTCGAGGACGACCCCTACCCCGCCTGCCTTCCCCTATAGATTTATATGCTTTCCATGTCATTCTACTGTGATCCATTCTCTCTAAATGACCAAACCACCTCAACAACCCCTCTTCTGCCCTCTGACTAATACTTTTATTAACTCCACACCTTCTCCTAATTTCCACACTCCGAATTTTCTGCATAATATTTACACCACACATTGCCCTTAAACAGGACATCTCCGCTGCCTCCAACCGTCTCCTCGCTGCTGCATTTACCACCCAAGCTTCACACCCATATAAGAGTGTTGGTACTACTATACTTTCATACATTCCCTTCTTTGCCTCCATAGATAACGTTTTTTGACTCCACATATACCTCAACGCACCACTCACCTTTTTTCCCTCATCAATTCTATGATTAACCTCATCCTTCATAAATCCATCCGCCGACACGTCAACTCCCAAGTATCTGAAAACATTCACTTCTTCCATACTCCTCCTCCCCAATTTGATATCCAATTTTTCTTTATCTAAATCATTTGACACCCTCATCACCTTACTCTTTTCTATGTTCACTTTCAACTTTCTACCTTTACACACATTCCCAAACTCATCCACTAACCTTTGCAATTTTTCTTTAGAATCTCCCATAAGCACAGTATCATCAGCAAAAAGTAACTGTGTCAATTCCCATTTTGAATTTGATTCCCCATAATTTAATCCCACCCCTCTCCCAAACACCCTAGCATTTACTTCCTTTACAACCCCATCTATAAATATATTAAACAACCATGGTGACATTACACATCCCTGTCTAAGACCTACTTTTACACATAAATGTACAATCATATATATACACACCCCTCTGGGTTTTCTTCTATTTTCTTTCTAGTTCTTGTTCTTGTTTATTTCCTCTTATCTCCATGGGGAAGTGGAACAGAATTCTTCCTCCATAAGCCATGTGTGTTGTAAGAGGCGACTAAAATGCCGGGAGCAAGGGCCTAGTAACCCCTTCTCCTGTATAAATTGCTAATTTTAAAAAGAGAAACTTTCTTTTTTCTTTTTGGGCCACCCTGCCTTGGTGGGATACGGCCGGTTTGTTGAAAAAAAAAAATAAATATATTTTTATATTCGTTACAAGATTTTTGACTAACCTCTAGGAGCTTCCGTGCCTGCTTGATACGCCCACACTCAATGAAGGCAAATACCATATCATACAGGCTGTTCATTTCACCATGGCTTGCAATACTCATGTCCATGATTTTCTGCAATCTAAATTAAAGATGTTAGAACACTTTTCAGAATATATAATGATGTTAGGCTGCATGTATACAGTGTATGTATAGTGTGCATATGTATATATGTATGCAGTCATCTATATGTGGTTGCAGGGGTCAATTCTAAAATCCTGGCTCTGTTTCTTGACTTGCAACTCTTCAGATTCACTCTCTCTTAGCCTCGGGGGCCTTATTGTACCTGCTCTTAAAACTATGTACAGTCTGCCTCAACTACTTCCTCATCAAGATCATTCCACTTCCTGACCACTCAGAATACAGAAATACTTCCTAACAACCCTCTGGCTTATCTACAGCTAACTTCTAATGGTTTCCCCGAGTTCTCATCTCGCCTCTCACAAAGCCTATCCCTGTCTTCCTTATCAACACCCCTGAGCAATTAACATACACCAGGCTGTCCTCAAGAGAGAACTGGATAAGTGATCAGCCAAGCTGGCTGCATGTTTGACTGCATGTGGTTAACACCACCAGTTTGAATTATCAGGTTATTAACCAGAAGGTTTGATCTGGGACTGGGCAACAGGGTAGGTGGGAAATGGTTTTTGTGGAAAACAAAAAATTACAATACTCTTAGATCCCCTCACTGTCTGACACTTTCAATATTTTATCAAACAATCCAACAGAAGCTTTCAAGAAGCTCTTATCTTAACAATTTCTAGATCTAATCAACCAAGTTGTGATGACCATGGGAGCCTGTGGGCCCTTAACACAAATAGCCTGATTGACCAGATGGTCTACATTATAGCATGGCCAAAGGACGGGCTGTGGGATTAGAAGAGCCTTCGAAATAGGTCACACAAAAAAAGTCACGGGTAAAAATATTCAAGGGGACTCTCACTCTTCCCCATTTGCATTACATGTTATCTTGTACAAGAATGGTATACAATACCAACAAGATGAAATTAAGACACATGTGCAACATCTGGGTATCTTTATTGTAGACGTTTTGCCATCCAGTGGCTTTATCAATACAAATTCCAGGACATAACTTGAAGACAGTAGAACTATGTACAGAAGATGAGGTAATCAGTCCCTCAACCTTGGAGTAGGTGCAAAGAGCACCATAGTCGTGGAGACTCCATGACTATGGTGCTCTTCGCACCAACTCCAAGGTTGAGGGACTGAGTACCTTATCTTCTGTACATAGTTCTACTGTCTTTAAGTTATGTCCTGGAATTTGTATTGATAAAGCCACTGGATGGCAAAACGTCTACAATAAAGATACCCAGATGTTGCACATGTGTCTTAATTTCACATGTTATCTTATATCACATATTATTTGTATAAGTTTTTTTTTATAAGTTATCTTTTGCAAATTTATGGCCAAATTGTTTGCTTCATTAATGGTTATTCCTAGGTTTCTAATTGTTTCTACAATTATTTTATGCCCCAAAACAGTACTTTGTTTTAGGATGTAATACTAAGTGTCACTACCCTATATACTCACTTCTCTGCATCCTCCAACTTGACACAGTGCACAGTCAACTCAAGCTTAGAGGGTGTTACACGATGCTCCTGCCAGATGTTTTCAAAGTCACTGAGTGCTCCAGCCAGATCATCGCTGTGTAAATTATAATAATTAATGCCCTTAAAAATATTGCAAATTAATTTTTAATAAGGAAGGTAATAGTAACTACAAAAGTTATAAGGATCTGTTATTTTTTAAAAGAATTTCATCAGTAAAAAGTTAATATAGAAGTGTAAACAGGTAAAATTTATGAAGAGATTCAGGCAAACTGGTTAGCTGTACTTGAGACCTGGAGGTGGAAAGTATAAGGCCTACACTCTGAAGGTAGGAGGAGGATGCTGCAGCTCAGAGGGCCATACGAGCTATGATGTCAGTATGCTTGTGGCTGAATGAATGATGAATGTGTTTCCTCTTCTTTTTATGGAGGGAAGGGTGGGGGAGAGGAGATTGCCCTACCTCAATGAGAGGTAGGGCAATCATTACCTCAAAAGTTAGCAATTTTTAACCACACTGGCATCTCCCACTAAGGCGGAGTGACCCAAGAAAAAAAAAACCCATCATAATCATCCTGGTCAGAAGTAAACAGATGCTGTAATTTCAAATGACCCTCTGATAGGCAACAGCCCAAACAGTGCTTCAGAGTGCAGGGACTGCACTTTCCACCTTCAGGACTCAAATTCTGCTAACCTGTTTTCACAAATCCCTACATAAATGATACTTTGCTCATGTTCCAACTGTACATCAAGACAAACAAAAACCATTCTTCTCCACTAACTTCCATCAAGCCTGCTGGATGCTCGACCCCTAGCACTCAGAACCTTCTTAAACTTCCCTTTTCTCCAACCCATTTTTAAATGGGTGTGTGTACTCACCTATATGTGGTTGGAGGGGTACAGCCTTAGCTACTGGCCTTATCTCTCAACCTGCCACCTGCCAGATCCACTCCCTCATGGCCTTGAGCCTCACCGTACTGCTCTGCCATTTCTTCACTCTGGCCACCCTGAGACTGAAGAAATACTTCCAGACATCCCTGTGGCTCATCCATGTCTAACTTCCAGCTTTGTCAATGAGTTTCCCATTTCTCACCTCTCAAATGCCCTGTCCATCTACTCCATCAATTGCCCCGAGTATGCTGTGTGTGTTTACCTGGAGTATACCTGGAGAGGGTTTCGAGGGGTCAATGCCCGGTCTGAGACTAGGCCTCATGGTGGATCAGGGTCTGATAACCAGGCTGTTACTGCTGGCTATATGCAAGCTGATGTATGAACCACAGTCCGGTTGGTCAGGTACTGACTTTAGGTGCCTGCCCAGTGCCTTCTTGAAGACAGCCACAAAAATGTTATTTTTCCATTTATTTTTATACTGGCCTCTTTTTTTTTTTTATATATATATTTGCAGTTAAGCATTTTATAGTGCTTTCTTTTAATAAATACCTCTCCTTCAACTGGGGGTACTTCAGTCTTGTTGAGGATGTGTATAGCACATTTCCTGCAATCACGTATGAGGTTTATGGAGAAGTATAACAAGCTATACGAATCTTTGATTAATATGCACTCTTCCTTGAGGCACAAATGGTTGAGCATGGCTTATATTTAGTCAACACTATGACTTGATTTTCAAATATATAATTATTACTTTGACTGGTACAAACCTGTTAAGATGTGCTTTGATGAGAGGGCCAAAAATAACACTTCCAGGCTGGGCGATTCTGTGGCTTAAGAAAACATCCATGAAACGACGAACAGTGGCAACATCACCTTTGTCAGCGAATATATCTAGAATACGTTTACACTGGTGCGTGGTTGTTACCGACTCTCTCTCATCAATGCTTTCTGGTGCATTACTTTCAATTAGCTTGAAAGCATCTGTGGAGAAAAAAAACAAGGATAAAAATTACATGGATGATGCTTAATTCATGTACAACAAATGTACATTAAAACATATGGAAGAGGAGATAGAGAATTTAGTGCTACTAACACTTGCATCATTTGTGTCAATTTGTACTTCTACTCTTAACATCATTATTAAATACAACTTGTTTAAGACCTCAATACAATTAATCCAATAATCCTTAATGTAAGTTAATACTGAAGGCATTAGAGGTAAAGCACACAATCAAAACTGCCATCTACTTACCCTCTATCTGACCTTCTTGGACCATAAGCTGTGCCAGTCGAAGAAATTTAAAGGGAGTCAACTTTGAGTCTGGTTCTCTTTGCACAAGATCTTGAAGAACTTTTACAGCCTCAGTGAGTTTACCAGCGCTAACATACATGTCAATCAAGAGAACATATATTCCAATGCCAAATGGATACTGCTCTGCTTCTAGTTTCTGAAAGATTAAAACTAGATGAACTAATAGAAAATATACAGAAAGATATGCACACTCAAGAAATTATGATGCCCTGATTGTATTTTCAGGAAAAACACGAGCATGCTCCAGTTTAGGTTTTAGATTTTGTCACCGAAAAGGCTAGTTTATTGTGCACCCCCATATCCATCCTGTGGATGGTAGTGCAAGAGCACATGGATACACAAGAGGCCTAGGAACTAGGCCCCAAAGGGGTTAACAAGAGTACATTTGAATTTCTATCTACAGTTCACTGATCTGTTACAAAAAATTTAAGAAATTTGCTTAATATATCTGCATAAATGAAAAAACTCAAAATTTCAACCTTTAGAAGACCAATCTAAGCTATTCATAACTGGTTCCAAATGAGGAAGGAGAGGATAATTTCAAAGCCTAAATAGAAGAAAAAGTGCTCTTACTTAAGAATAACAAAAAATTTGGTAAAACTGCAAAACACTTTTACACCAACTTAGTGAGGAATGAACAACTATTGGAAAGACTAGCTAAAATAAGAGAATGTGATAATGTTGAAGAGATACATCTCTGAATTTATGAATGCAATGTCTGAGTGAGAAAAAGATTTGCAGAAAAAAAAAAAAAAAAAAAAAAAAAAAAAAAAAAAAAAAAAAAAGGCATTTTAGTCGCCTCTTATGACACTCAAGGCTTAGGGAAGGTTTCCTAAGGCAGAGCAACCCAGAAAACCTAACACATTCAACACAAACCATACTAGAAGTGCGCAGACATAATAATTCAAATGACCTTCCAAACTGTAATATCACTGCTGCCCCTCCTTCACATATACTTATAGAGAAAAAAAGACAAAAACTGAGTGGGAATAAATGCTAAAGAACAAATGAATGAATGGGTGAATCAGAAAATTTTTGCCTTAAACACAAAATTTTTTAGAGTAATAAATGAGTTGTTAAAACAAAGGGAATAAATGGAAAGGTCATTTAAGAGTGAAGTTGCTGGAAAAGGGAGGGAGGGGGAAGTAGAAGTAAAGAGCAATACAGAGAATACTGCAGTCAGGAAGCAAAAAAGAAAATAATTTTAAGAACAACAAGGCACAATGACTGGAACAATACACAAACAACCCACATATAGGAGAAAATCTTATGACGACGCTTCAATACGACTCGGACCATCAACTAGTCCAATGGGTCAAATTGGACTGTAATGCTGTCATGAGTTTCTTTCTCCTACGTGAAGGATTATTTGTGTAGGAATACAATTTGCTCACAAAGTCTCATAATTAATGGAGGTTTCAATCATTAACACAGAAAAAGAAAAACTGTTCACATGAGTTTTGCAAATTTCTTTAAATTTATCATCAGTGCTAGATAGAGTTCACAGAGAAAGGTTCGGGATAAGAGTATCAAATAAAGTGTAAGGAAAATTCATAATAAAATGGCAAAGGTTATAATAAATGCCAGAAGTGTGTGTGATATTTTACATGTGTATCCTCTTTTAAAATCAAATGCAAACTTGTATATATGATTAAGCACAAAATATAAAAATTTATTTCATAAAGCTTTTGAGATAAACACCAACCTTTTTCATCTCCTCCACTTTCTCTATGTCTTTGTTTCGAATGTAAGCTATAAGCAGATGACCAACAATATTTTCTGTTGGGAGGTTTTTATTTTTTAGCTCACTGTAGCGACGCTCCAGTTCAGATACACTCTGCTGAGACTAAATAAAAAAATTATTAATCCAAGACAAATTATCCTTAAAGCAATGAGAACTACAGTAGAATCCTACCCCTTTCACAAAAATTCTTACCATGTCTGCAGATTTATCTGCTATGAAATGCAAATACACTCCAACACTATTCATTTACACTACAGCTTCTACCATCACACCTCTGCAAACTTATAACTTAAGAGAAATAATTTATAAATTGGTCTGGAATACCAATCACATATACATTGAGATAATTTTTGGCAAAGACCATGATTATGTGTGAATGATGGTGAAAGTGATGAATGATGGTGAAAGTGTTTCTTTCTTTTTTTGGGTCACTCTACCTCAGTGGGAGACGGCCGATGTGTTAAAAAAAAAAAATTAATACACTTGCTGTCTCCCACCAAGGTAGAGTGATCTGAAGACTAAACATTTCCACCATCATTCACTATCACTCTCTTGTTAGAGGTGTGCCGATACTATAGTTCAGACGCCCCTCCAACCTCTCCTTCAGAGTGAAGTCAACGTACATTCCACCTCCAGGACTCAAGTCTAACTGGTTTCCCTGAAGCTCCTAACAAATATTACCTGGCTTGCACTTCAACAGCTCGTCAAGTCCCAAAAACCATTTGCCTCCATGCACTCCTATCTAATGTGCTCACACATGCATGAAAAGGCTCAATTCAAAAGAAGCACTAAAACAAAATGCTTCAAAAATAAAGAATTCAGTGCACTAATTATTTCCATTTTTTTTTTAACATCAGTCATCTCTCACTGTGGCATTTGGTTACCTAAAAAAGAAGAAACAAAAGTTTTCTTTCTTTTACAAAACAAATTCTATAAAATAGTCACTTCTTTGCATAACATCAAGCTATATACTGTAGAAACAGGTTCTCTTAAACTCACATATAGCACTAACGTCTCCCGAGGTGGAGGTTGAAATGCCAGATCTCCAGACGACACTCTTTCCAGAAGTTCCACAATTTCTTCGGTTGCTTGCCCCTCCAGTTTGGATTTGGCTAGCAATGCATTTTCCTTGCTTATGTTGATACCACGACTCACCATCTCCTAAAAGACAAACTGACACATTTGAACACTGACCTCTGGCAGGACACGGGCTTAATATGAGGTGTAAGATTTGAAAATAATAATTTGTTTTTGTTTTGATGTTCTTATAATGAGTTTCCATACTTTAAACAGATTTTTGGTTACTTTTTGAGAATGCACTATGGTGAAAATATTATGCTCAAGTGTGCTTCTAGTGAGCATCTACTGTATGAATTACTGCCTGAAAACTTTTGCCAAAATACTGAGCATCATCCATCAACCCCCCCCCCCCCAATCCCCCAACAAAAAAATAAGAGGGTAAAACTACATGGTAAAAAAAACCATACCCCCGGCCGGGATTGAACCCGCGGTCATAGAGTCTCAAAACTCCAGCCTGTCGCGTTAGCCACTAGACCAGCTAGCCACAATAAGATTCATCCAACTAGGTATATTTCTACACCATAGGAAGGTTAGCACAGGCACCACTGTGACCACAAATGCAAGTTTTTACAGACGAATCTCCAGCTAGCGTGGCCGTGACGAACTCTAGCTCAAGTCCCTTCACTGCCGTCAACATGACCGCGGGTTCAATCCCAGCCGGGGGTATGGTTTGTTTGCAATCGTGCCATTACGATTTCTTGAGTCAAAACTACATGGTGTTATGAATGAGTCGCACTTTAGCTTAAATCTTTAGATGGAACACTCACCCGAAGAAGTGGTAATACTGCCGTGCCCAATGGAGAACCATGGGTCTGCCATATTACATCCTTTAAAAACATGCCAGCAACATCCTGCTGTTCTCGCCCTGAAGTCTGCTGAGCACCTTCATCTTCAGTGTTCTGGTCTTCAATAGCTAGAAAAAGAACTATTTTAGTAATTATTTCATCATTATTCTATCTACCTATTTTATCCTATAAATTTAATATAAAACTTTAAATGATAATTAAAGCAAAATAATTCATGCAAAATCTTCTACAAGAAAAATCAGTCACAAAAAATTTTGACACTATAAAGTGTTAAGATCCATTAATATAAAGTGACATGAGGTGCATAATATGAAATGTTGTTATCAGGCACAGTACTAGAAGGCAACTTGACACAAATCTCAATATATCCACAAATGACTTCTGACCTGAATTTCAATAGTCTGATGTCAAACTTTTTCTTTAACACACTGGCTATTTCCCATCAAGGCAGGGTGACCCAAAAAAGAGGAAACACATTCAAAGTCATTCATTCAATTGCTGTCTTGCCAGAAGTGTACTGACAACACAGCTCAGATAAACCTCTGAACTGCAGCATCCTCACCCCTACTTTAGAGTGCAGACACTGTACTTCACATAAAATTCACTGTAATAATCTAAAGTTCATACCAATAAGCATTTCAAATGAATATCATTGCCACTAACTGCCTCCAATCCCACTCACCTTCCACGATGTCATTCTCAATAGTTCTTAAGACATGATAGCTCACTCTTCCCATTTTTTCTTTTAATATGTTGGCCATCTCCCACCAAACCAAGGTGACCCCCCCCCCTACAAAAAAAAAACACTTCCACCATCATTTACACTATCACTGTTTTGCTAGAGGCAAAATTTCTCGAATTATACTTTTCGGATAATCCAATGGTTAAGTGATCCCAGGTATAACTTTTCTTCTTCTTTCCAGAAACTAGCTATATCCCACTAAAGCAGGGTGGCCCAAAATAAAAAAACAAATTTCTCTTTTTAACTTTAGTATGTTAGTCGCCTCTTACAACACGCATGGCTTAAGGAGAAAGAATTCTGTTCCACTTCCCCATGGAGAATATATAACTTTTAAGTACCCAAAAATATTGTATAGCAGCAGCATTTACCAATCCTGTATCAAGATTAATGGTCCCATGGTAAAATGAACCCACATGTAACTTCTAGGTACCCACAAATATTGCATTACAATAATACTTACCAATGCTGTATCAGGAATATTGGCTCTTATTATTTTTTTATAAATATAGAATGATACATTACCTACATCTTGGTTGTGGTTTACCATCTGACCAAGAACAACAACTGTCGACACTGGGTCACCCATCTTGACATAAACATTTGCCAGGTCATGGCGAAGAATGCTGGTCAGGCGATAACGATATCGTGATACTGGCGAGAGGAAAAAAAAAATTCTAACACTCTACAATTTTTAGATAAATTATAAAATTAAAAGGTAATTTTTCAAGTGATATTAATCAGTCATAAAAAATATGTATCCATTTCTAACTTAAAAAAAAAAAATGACCTTTCCACATTCAACAATAAAATTATTCAAAAACAGTATCACTAATTTTATTTTTCCACAAAGTTTGTGAAAATTTACAAAAAACTTTTTTTTAACCTTTTGACTGTTTTTGTCACATACATATGCCTTACGAACCAGTGTTTTTGACGTATTAATACTCCAAAATTCTAGCAGCTTCAAATCAAGCGGGAGAAAGCTGTTAGGCCCACATGTGAGAGAATGGGTGTGTGGGGTCAGTGTGTGCAGTATAAAAAAAATCCTGTAGCATGCAGTGCATTAGAAAAAAGAACTCGGACCGTGCTTTTGGATTAAAACGCCGACTTTGAGGTTTATTTTCGTATCATATTTACGGTTGCATTCTCGTTTTCTTGGTCTCATTTGATAGAAATAGAGATGATTCTGACTGGTTTCACAATGAAAAGGACCTTGAAATCGAGCTCAAAGTAGTGGAAATTTCTATTTTTGCTGATGTTCAAAAGTAAACACAGTCCAATACATGTCTAACTGGCCAGTCTAATATGAAGTCACAAATGGGTTGACATTACATTGTTACAATAATGCAGTAGACTGCATAACAGTAAATCTTCTATTTTGTGTGAATAAAAATTCAAAATAGAAAGAAAGAGAAATATAAGAAAGGCCTGGAGACATGACTAATGAACAAAGAAAATGTTATTTTAGTGCAAGGAATGTCTGCATTGTTTATTCTGGAACCTATTTTGAAATTGGCATCTTTTTTAATTTGTGTGAAATTGGCCAAATCACCAATTCCTGACCACTTTATTGGGTAGTTGAAATCGGTAAATGGGTGGCTTCTTGTACTCAATCGATAGAACAAATGGAGTTCTAAAGAAATAGCTGTGAATTTGGTCGACTGGAACAATGGAACTGGCTGAAAATTGGGCTCAAAGTGGGCGAAATTGCCGATGCGTATATATCGCCGAGATCGCTAACTTTGTGAGAGCGTAATTCCGTAAATTTTCCATCAAATTTCGTACTTTTGGTGCCATTACCATCAGGAAAAGATTCTCCATCATTTCATAAGAAAAAATAATTTTTTTTTTAATATTTTGCAACACAGACACACACTTCAGGTTTTGGGGTTGTGACAGTCAAAGGGTTAATGACATAAGAAATATTTTGAGGAATTGTTAAATGTTGATGAAGATAGGGAAGCTGTGATTTCGTGTACAGGAAAGGAAGAATAACATCTTGTAGGAAGAGCCAGTTGCGAGTGTGGGGGAAGTTTATGAGGCAGTGGGTAGAATGAAAGTTGGTAAGGCAGCTGGGATTGATGGGATAAAGATAGTAATGTTAAAAGCAGGTGGAGATATAGTTTTGGAGTGGTTGGTATTTTTATTTAATAAATGTATGGAAGAGGGTAAGGTACCCTGAGATTGGCAGAGAGCGTGCACTTCCACTGTATAAAGGCAATGGGGGACAGAAGTGTGAAAAATTATAGGGGAATAAGTCTGTTGAGTATACCTGGTAAAGTGTATGGTTGAGTTATTATTGAAAGAATTAAGAATACAACAGAGTAGGATAGCAGATGAACAAGAAGGCTTTAAGAAAGGGAGGGGGTGTGCAGACCAAGTGTTTACAGTGAAACATACAGATGAACAGTATTCAGATAAGGGTAAAGAGGCTTTTGTTGCATTTATGTACTTGGAAAAGGCATATGACAGGGTGGATAGGGAGGCAATGTGGAAGATGTTACAAATGTATGGAATAGGAGGTAGGTTACTGAAACCAGTGAAGAGTTTTTACGAGGATAGTGACGCTTGACGCTTAGGTTAGAGTATGTAGGAGAGAGGGAGATTATTTCCCAGTAAAAGTAGGCCTTAGACAAGGATGTGTGATGTCACCATGGTTGCTCAATATATTTATAAATGAGGTTGTAAGAGAAGTGAATGCTCAGGTGTTGGCAAGAGGTGAGGGGTTAAAAGATAAAGAATCTAACACAAAGTGGGAGTTGTCACAGCTGCTCTTTGCTGATGACACTGTGCTTTCGGGAGATTCTGAAGAGAAGTTGCAGAAGTTGGTGGATGAGTTTGGTAGGGTATGTAATAGAAGAAAATTAAAAGTGAATATAGGAAAGAGTAATGTGATGAGGAAAGACTGGATATCAAATTGGAGGGAGAGAGTATGGAGGAGGTGAATGTATTCAGATATTTAGGAGTAGACGTGTCAGCAGATGGCCCCATGAACAATGAGGTGAATCACAGAACTGATGAAGGTAAAAAGGTGAGTGGTGCACTTAGGAGTCTGTGGAGACAAAGAACTTTGTCCTTGGAAGCAAAGAGGGGAATGTATGAGAGTACACCAGTGCTCTTATATGGGTGTGAAACATGGGTGGTGAATGTTGCAACAAGGAGAAGGCTGGAGGCAGTGGAGATGTCATGTCTGAAGGCAATGTGTGGTGTGAATATAATGCAGAGAATTTGTAGTTTGGAAATTAAGAGGTGATGCGGGATTACCTAAACTATTATCAAGAGGGCTGAGGAGGGGTTGTTGAGGTGGTTCGGACATGCAGAGAGGATGGAACAAAATAGAATGACTTTGAAAGTGTATAAATCTGTAGTGGAGGGAAAGTTGGAGGGAGGTGGTAAAGGAGGCTTGTGTGCAAGGGGCTTGGACTTCCAGCAAGCATGGGTGAGCGTATTTGATAGAAGTGAATGGAGACAAATGGTTTTTAGGACTTGACATGCTGTTGGAGTGCAAGCAAGGTAACATTTATGAAGGGATTCAGGGAAACCGGCAGGCCGGATTTGAGTCCTGAATGTGGGAAGTACAGTACCTGTACTCTGAAGGAGGGGTGTTAATGTTGAAGTTTTATAACTGTAGTGTAAGCCCACCTTCCCTTGGTGGGAGACAGACGATGTGTTAAATAAAAAAAAAAGAAATGGTTCATTCAAGTTAATAAAAGGGTAAAAACTAAAAAGAATAATCTTTTTTTTTTTTTGCACCATGAATAAGAATGCTATAATTTGTTAAAAACCAAAGCCTAAGAATACAAATGTGCACATAACAATTACAAACATAGTTTTAAGAGAATCATGCAAAATTAATTTTATAAAAAATGGGATTATATGATTAGGGTTTCCAGATATAAATTAAAGAATCAGGTAAATTACTTGTGTCTTCATGCCACATCGTGAAAGGTTTACAAGGATACAGCATTCTGAAAAATATATCTCCAAAACTATTTCTCAAAATAAAATTAGGTATTCTGTTTTGAACATCCTTTAAGCCACTGAAGACACAAATTCTACCATATACTATACAGTGGACCCTCGACCAACGATGGCATCGATTAACGATAAATCCGACCAGCGATACATTATAACGCAAAATTTTTGCCTTGACTAGCGCTAAAAAACTCGACTAACACTATTCGTTCCGTCTGAGACGCGTCCACTTCTGGCCAGTGTTTACAAGCCAGTCAGCCACCGCAGTCGCTTCCTAGCATACAATCGGAACATTTCATATTATCACAGCCTTTTTAGTGATTGCACCTGCAAAATAAGTCACCATGGGCCCCAAGAAAGCTTCTAGTGCCAACCCTACAGCAAAAAGGGTGAGAATTACTATGAATATGAAGAAAGATCATTGCTAAGTATGAAAGTGGAGAGCGTGTCTCCGAGCCGGCCAGGTTGTACACAAAACCCCAATCAACCATCGCTACTATTGTGGGCAAGAAAACGGCAATCAAGGAAGCTGTTCTTGCCAAAGGTGCAACTATGTTTTCAAAACTGAGATCGCAAGTGATAGAAGATGTTGAGAGACTGTTATTGGTGTGGATAAACGAAAAACAGATAGCAGGAGATAGCATCTCTCAAGCGATCATATGTGAAAAGGCTAGGAAGTTGCATGAGGATTTAATTAGAAAAATGCCAGCAACTAGTGGTGATGTGAGTGAATTTAAGGCCAGCAAAGGTTGGTTTGAGAGATTTAAGAATCGTAGTGGCATACATAGTGTGATAAGGCATGGTGAGGCTGCCAGTTTGGACCAAAAAGCAGCTGAAAAATATGTGCAGGAATTCAAGGAGTACATAGACAGTGAAGAATTGAAACCTGAACAAGTGTTTAATTGTGACACTGACAATGTGTGAAACACTTTAGGAATGTCATAAAAGGAACGGGAGTACAGGCCTCTATGGACAGATATGTTGTGCGACAGAGGTCCAGTGACTCTCAAGCTGGTCCTAGTGGCATTAAAAGAAGAAGGGAAGTAACCCCGAAAAAAGACTTGCCACCTCAAGTCCTAATGGAAGGGGATTCCCCTTCTAAACACTAACACCATCAACACTCTCCCCTCCTCCCATCCCATCAATGATCACCAGATCTTCAATAAAGGTAAGTGTCATGTAACTGTGCATGTTTTCTTCAGTTTGTGTGCATTAAAATTAATATTTCATGTGTTAAAAATTTTTTTTTCAATACTTTTGGGCGTCTTGCACGGATTAATTTGATTTCCATTATTTCTTATGGGGAAAATTAACTTGACTAACGATAATTTTGATTAACGATGAGCTCTCAGGAACGGATTAATAGCGTTAGTCGAGGGTCCACTGTACAGCAATACCCTGGTTTTTGTCCTTAATCCATTCCAGAAGGTCGGCCAAAATTCGAAAGAGACGAAAACAGAAATAATATTCCCATAAGAAATAATGTAACTCCAATTAATCCACTCCAGACACACAAAAATATTAACAAAAAATACATTTTATAGAGAATAACTATAGTTTTACATACATAAAATAAGAAATAAATATAAGGCACTAATTTTAATGGATAAATGAACATTTAAATCAGTTTTACCTTTATTGAAGACTTGCTGGCATATTCTTTTATGAGATCTGCATGCGACTGCCTTGCCTCTTCACAAATTATCGCCTCCACAACACTATCTCCGCTAACTTCTTTTCGTTGATCCACACCAACAACAAATTCTCAACATCTTCTATTGTTTCCCATCACTACCACCCTCTACCTTTGTAGGTGGTAGTGATATTTCTCCACAAAACATTGCAACTCATTTCTATGAGTTCTTTCTTGAATTCTATAGTGTTTCTCATCTTTACCAAAGGGCTGGTACTCTGAACTTTCTTTGGCCCCATGGTGGCTTATTTCAGTCACAATCAATAAACAAGCACAAAAAACAATGGATAGACATATGGAGTTTTGCTAACTCAACATGAGACAGAGGCAGACCGAGTCTGGTACACGTGAGCAGCAGCATCGTGGGCGGGCGGACACATCTGATACGGATGATTTCCGAGCAGATGAACAAAACCTGGAGGAAAATTTCGCCGATAGAAGTGTTCGAAATCAGAACTGTACGATTTCCGCACAGGACGAAAACCAGGGGTCCATTGTACTTCAACATCAACCACTTCCCAACAAGAGAAGGCAACTCAATCATCTTCATTCATTCTCTAGCTGTTAAGCCAGAAGTGCAGGCCCACAACAACTTAAATGACCTTCCAAACTGCAACACGTCTACCCATTATGTATTCTATCTAGCATTTGTCTTACCTAAATCAGCTGCAGCTTTAATATCACCATTATCAAGATGGTAAGCAATGCAGCCATTAATTACTGATGAAAGAGACATTCCTGCTTCTCTAAGTGCACCAATCATAGTTTCTTGATCATTATGGTTCAGGGCTGTTGGTATGACATAGTGTTTGCAGGTCTCCAAAGTCAAGGGAACCTCAAAGGAAATCATCTCCTTCACAGTGCTATACACCTCTGCAAAGGGATATACAGTATTACATATTAATATAAATGTACCTCAAATGGTACAAAGTAAGTTGTCAAAAACCATAATCTTCAAGATGGGTAAGTAGTTCCCTGTATCCAAGGGTGATATGTTCCAAGACCTTCCATGATACCCAAAACTAAGGATAGTATTGAACCTTATATATAAGTCATTTTCATTTACATACATACCTATAATCAAAATGGCTATAACTGACCATAATTTTTAAAGGGGTGGACTGGGAAGCCAGCAGAAGGCCTCGGTCAGATGACCATAGCTCCAAAGGCGGGTCATCATCTGACTAAGACCCGTGTCAGGAAACACTTGTCCTGTTTCCTGACAAATCTTACCTAACCTAACCATACATACCTATGATAAAGTTTAATTGATAAATTATGCACAATAAGTCAAGAATTCACACTTTTTTCACTAATGGGAAGAACTTCACAGCTTCTCTTAGGCTTTGAACAACTGCCACCATCACTACTTTCATGCTTTGGTGCCATTATTAACCAAAATTAAAGATTATTTTTGGGCCACAGTAAACCGTGGATAACTGAAACAGCAGAAACTGAATCTGTGGATATGGGGGTTCTACTGTAATACACCTACCATCCGACTTACGACCGAGTTCAGTTCCGAGAAACCGGTCGTAAGTCGAACTTTACTACTGATTATCAACAAAAAATTTTTGTAATGACTTTATTTTATTGTTTTATTTTGGTATTTCATGTTTTACTTTACTTTTTATGTTGTTAGTACTGTATTTTATACTGTAAGGTTTAGGATAAACACTGTGTACAACACAAATAGTTGTTTATTCCCCAGAAATTTGGCATAAAAAACACGGTCGTAAGTCGAGTGGTCGTAAGTCGAGCAGGTCGTAAGTCGGATGGTAGGTGTATATAATATATATATACAGGAAATCATTCTACTGTAATACAGAATATATATAAATCAAGAAATCAACCTGGCAAGCAATTTACACTGTACATTTCCATCTCTCACTCAGCATCTGATTAAGACCCATGTCAGGACTTTATTCCTGATTAATATATTATCCCTATCATCTCTTACCATTTCAGTCGAATCCGCTAAGAATACTGATTATCCATCGTGTCATAACAGAGGAAATATATCTGAATTTCAGAAATCCAAATTACATAAATTAGACAACCGTCCTATTCAGGTAGTTTTAAGTAACATGACTGAATGATGAAAGTGTATATTAGTGAGCCTGGTGACCCCATGCTGTGTGACTGAGGTTCCATCCTGTGTAACTTGTGGGTGAGGTGCAAATAACCTCATCTGGATAACCCAAGAGAAAATATTCACACACTCACTGAATTCTAGCTGTTTTCTTAGAAGTGATGACATCATGAATCCACTGTACCACAACCTTCCCACCCTACTGAATGCATGAATTCTCTCCTCATCCCCCAGAGAACATGCTATACATATGTATATCTTAACCTCATAGTGCATGAACATCTCCCCACTCCACCCAGTCAACACACTATCTCCCAATTTTCAAATTAAATGATTCAAACTCTTAAGTTATAAAAACTTTTAAAACTCACTTTCAATTTCTCCTTGTTTGCCATACTGTAATATGATTGGCCAAAAGTAATGTGGGCGTAATGATGCTCCATCCTCATTCATCACTCTCATTATAAACATGGCTGCTTCAGGGAGACCATATTGTAAAGCTCCACCAAGGGCCACCTCTGAAGCATATATATTTTGACCATTTTTCCTCAGTTCTTGACAGTACTGCATTACTACGGATGTTGGCTGTAGAATGATACAGGTTATATTTTCTCACACTATACCCAAGTTATTATTAAAATAATCTCAAGTTTGTCTTATCAGATCAAGCAAAAACACCTGTGGTGGGCCAGTAGGCCTTCTGCAGTGTTCCTCCATTCTTATGTTCTTATGTACAGTGGACCCCCGCCTTACGAACGCATCGCGTTACGTTAAAACCGCCATACGAAGCATTTGAATGCAAAAATTTTGCCTCGCCTCATAAAAAACTCGCCTTACGTGATTCGTCCGGGATGCGTCCCATGTGTGGCCTCAGTGCCAGTGTTTACAAGCCAGCCAGTGCAGTCACATCTACGCATACATTCGGTACATTTCACATTATCCCACTGTTTTTAGTGCTTGTAACTTCAAAATAAGTCACCATGAACCCCAAGAAAGCTTCTTGTGCCATCCATGTAGTAAAAAGGGGAAGAATTAGTATGGAATTGAAAAAAAAGAGATTAAGGAAATGTGTGCAAAGTGGGTTGAACTGCAAACCTTTACGGTTGAAAATCACCCTAACAATACTGCATGCCGTGTTGGCAACCTGTACAATGACAATGTTATGGCCCATTTTAGTCAAGTCTTAAAGGAATGGGAGGTACAGAGCTCTATGGACAGATTTGTTGTGCGACAGAGGTCCAATGACTCTCAAGCTGGTCCTTGTGGCATTAAAAGAAGAAGGGAAGTAACTCCAGAAAAGGACTTGCTACCTCAAGTCCTAATGGAAGGAGATTCCCCTTCTAAACAATAACTTCCACACTCTCCCCTCCTCCCATCCCATCAATCATCACCAGATCTTCAATATAGGTAAGTGTCATGTATTCTATTCTTAGTATAGTAGTAATTGTGCATGTCTTCTTCAGTTTGTGTGTATTAAAATTAATATTTCATGTGGTAAAAAAATGTTTTTTTCATACTTTGAGGTGTCAGGAACGGATTAATTTGAGTTCCATTATTTTTTAATGGGGAAAATTAATTCGGCTAACAATAATTTCGGCTTACGATGAGCTCTCAGGAACGGATTAATATCATAAAGTGGGGGTCCACTGTACTAGGACGTTTGAGATTTTTGCCACCAGGTGCTTTTCTCAATCTGCCCAGGTGGGAAAAACATCTCAATAAATAATCTAATACCACATCCCTCTCTTGCTTGCATTATTTGTCAGTGAATCACCATTCATAATTTCATTTTCCTTACCAAGGAAAAAGTAGATCAAATGCTGAAGTCCTCAGCACATGATAAATATAAAATGAAGGAATTATCCAATATATTTTAGTTTGTTGAAAGAAGATTTAAAATTTATTTAAAATTATGTACGAGAACATGGCAGGGTGACAAAGATGGAAATCAGGTTAAGAAAACATTCATGCCAAAATACTGATAATTTTTAAATTTTCTGCTATGTACATCATGACCCACACAGCTGAATATTTGAACATATTAAGGATATTGATGTATAAACTGCAGGCATAACTCCTTATGATTTATCTTGGATTAACAAGCTGTGATTAATGACATATGAATGGCAATAAATCATGTACATATGATCTACGATCCCTAGTATCAGGCGCTGTTGTTCTCTTACCGTGCCACTTTTCACAAGATGTCTGATGAAGAAAAAGCCAACTGGGATTGTTTCCCCATCATCATTCTGTGATATCTTCATTGTGGACATAATCTGGTATGCCACCTCATGACATTCTGCATTAAGGAGACGATAAGTGAGGTTCATGGCATCCTGCTGGTAGCCCTGTACTTTTTGAAACTTCTCAATTATCTGAAAGAAATACCATACTCGTTACTGAAAGACTGCATTTAAATTGCTGGTGATTTTTTTTTTCCAAGCACTGCTTGACACACAAAAGATTAAGAATAATTATGTACAAATTCTTCATTACTCAAAATATAATTACAGTACCAGTATATTTCTATTACTCCAGATAACCCAGTAATTGTCAATTTCTGAACGCTCCATTTTTGAAGTAGTCATACTGACGGACACTTCCACGTAAAAGTGCAGAAAGAGTAGGATAAACCGAGAAATGATATAATGGAAAAAAACTCCATGCCGGGTTAAAAAAGATATGACAGTTTAATTCCATCAGTTAAGAGGTGGGACCAAACACTAGAGTTCACCTTTGCAATTTTAAATCAGTAATTAGATGATACATACCTGTGGTACATGCTGCTTGTAACCTTTGACTGCTAGTGCAAATACGACCTCCATAAGTTCACGATCATGGAGGTTTAACTCGGCTGCCTCACACTCTGCTAAAGTTGAGTGAAGACTCTCAATATCCCCGTGTTCGGCATAGCCCACAAGTAACGTTGTGTAGGTGTCTGTGCTGGGCTCCAACCCTGATCCCTTCATCACATCCAGTACCTTATGGGCACTTTCCATATCACTGTAAAAACAGATATGTACTTAAAATTCCAAAAGCCTTTCCTCACTTACCGACATGCTCATTTACTGATGACCCGGATTTATGATGTTCTCGCTGACCAGTATGCTTACCTATATAATGTATATTAGAGCTGATTTCCTCTATTCTGTTTATTACAATATACAGTACACTACTGCACAAACATTTAAAAATATACCAGAAATGTGACATTAAAACAATAAACAATTCTTCTTTCTTTCAACACACCGGCTGTATCCCACCGAGGCGGGGTGGCCCAAAAGGAAAATCGTAAGTTTCTCCTTTTACATTTAGTAATATATACAGGAGAAGAGGTTACTAGCCCCTTGCTCCCGGCATTTTAGTCACCTCTTACAACACGCATGGCTTACGGAGGAAGAATTCTGTTCCACTTCCCCATGGAGATAAGAGGAAATAACAAGAACAAGAATTAGAAAGAAAATAGCCGAAAACTCCGAGGTGTGTGTAATATGCTTGTACGTGTATGTGTAGTGTGGCCTAAGTGTAAGTAGAAATAGCAAGACGTACCTGAAATCTTGCATGTTTATGAGACAGAAAAAAGGACACCAGCAATCCTACCATCATGTAAAACAATTACAGGCTTTCGTTTTACACTCACTTGGCAGGGCGGTAGTACCTCCCTGGGTGGCTGCTGTCTACCAACTTACTACCTAATAAACAATATCGACATTAAAACAATATCGAAGATGGTTGACACAAACCTACTACCATTATAGCATGCTCCTCACTTAGCGATGAATTCGTTTACCGACGTGGTCTTAGGAATGGAACTCCATCGTTAAGCGAGGAGAGGCTGTATTAGCAAAATAAATTAAAGGATATGAAGTAATAATGATGCCAGGAGAAAAGGGCTAATAACTTCTCCTGTATAAATTACTAAATGTAAAAAGAAAAGCTTTCGTTTTTCTTTATAGGTCACCCCACCTTGGTGGGAGATGGCTAGTGCACTGAAAAATAAAGAAAGAAAAAAAAAAGAATAATAGTGTGAACCTAAACCTCATCTCTCTAATGAGCAGAGCAAAGAACAAGTACAGGTGAACAAAACAGTGAACGGAAATATTCACACATTTTTAGAGAGAGACAATAATTCAGAACATACAGGATACATGAGAAAAGATCGAAGGCATTGGGAAAGCATCAGTATAGTTTGGCAAAACCCAAAAAAACAACTTGTCTCCGATTTAACACACTCATACATGCTGCTGATAATGGGATATATAATGGTGGACACAAAATGTACACTGCACATGAGAAAGAAAGTCAGAATCCTTGCCTTATAGAGAGCAGCTACAATGATGGGCAAGGATCTGATTAAGAAAGTGGCTACAATGATGGGCAAGAGTCTGATTTAGAAGACAGCTACAATGATGGGAAAAGGTCTGATCTCCAATTTCACTTTATCATATTTTTTAAACAATCCAAAAACGAAAAGAAAAAAAAATACACAAAAAAGATATGTGGCAAGGTGATATAGTAAGTGACAAAGAAAACCACTTACTTTGCTCTAGAATGCCCCATAATGAGCGAATTGAAAATATTTTCACCAACAGGCAACTGCTTCTCTTTCATAAACTCAAGGATTTTGGTGGCTCCATCAATGTCTCCCTCCTGCAAGGATCCAATAACATCAATTTACATGGTACAATTGGCATTAGGAAAAACAATTTGACTTAGCAGTATGGTATAGAGATAGTCATGTACTGTACTGCATCAATAACTAAGGATAGGGAAAAGGGGATTCCCCATTGCCTTTGCAGAAGGCAAAAAACATTCAAATCAATTATTTAATGAAATATAGATAAAAGACTGTTGAGTAGACTTCAGGATGTACATGTTTATAGAGGGGCCACAGATATATCAGATCACTTTCTAGTTGTAGCTACACTGAGAGTAAAAGGTAGATGGGATACAAGGAGAACACATCAGGGAAGAGAGAGGTGAAGGTTTATAAACTAAAAGAGGAGGCAGTTAGGGAAAGATATAAACAGCTTTTGGAGGATAGATGGGCTAATGAGAGCATAGGCAATGGGGTCAAAGAGGTATAGGGTAGGTTTAAAAATGTAGTGTTAGAGTGTTCAGCAGAAGTTTGTGGTTACAGGAAAGTGGGTGCGGGAGGGAAGAGGAGCGATTGGTGGAATGATGATGTAAAGAGAGTAGCAAGGGAGAAAAAGTTAGCATATGAGAAGTTTTTACAAAGTAGAAGTGATGCAAGGAGGGAAGAGTATATGGAGAAAAAGAGAGAGGTTAAGAGAGTGGTGAAGCAATGTAAAAAGAGAGCAAATGAGAGAGTGGGTGAGATGTTATCAACAAATTTTGTTGAAAATAAGAAAAAGTTTTGGAGTGAGATTAACAAGTTAAGGAAGCCTAGAGAACAAATGGATTTGTCAGTTAAAAATAGGAGAGGAGAGTTATTAAATGGAGAGTTAGAGGTATTGGGAAGATGGAGGAATATTTTGAGGAATTGTTAAATGTTGATGAAGATAGGGAAGCTGTGATTTCGTGTATAGGGCAAGGAGGAATAACATCTTGTAGGAGTGAGGAAGAGCCAGTTGTGAGTGTGAGGAAGTTCGTGAGGCAGTAGGTAAAATGAAAGGGGGTAAGGCAGCCGGGATTGATGGGATAAAGATAGAAATGTTAAAAGTAGGTGGGGATATAGTTTTGGAGTGGTTGGTGCAATCATTTAATAAATGTATGGAAGAGGGTAAGGTACCTAGGGATTGGCAGAGAGCATGCATAGTTCCTTTGTATAAAGGCAAAGGGGACAAAAGAGAGTGCAAAAATTATAGGGGGATAAGTCTGTTGAGTATACCTGGTAAAGTGTATGGTAGAGTTATTATTGAAAGAATTAAGAGTAAGACGGAGAATAGGATAGCAGATGAACAAGGCGGCTTTAGGAAAGGTAGGGGGTGTGTGGACCAGGTGTTTACAGTGAAACATATAAGTGAACAGTATTTAGATAAGGCTAAAGAGGTCTTTGTGGCATTTATGGATTTGGAAAAGGCATATGACAGGGTGGATAGGGGGGCAATGTGGCAGATGTTGCAGGTGTATGGTGTAGGAGGTAGGTTACTGAAAGCAGTGAAGAGTTTTTACGAGGATAGTGAGGCTCAAGTTAGAGTATGTAGGAAAGAGGGAAATTATTTCCCAGTAAAAGTAGGCCTTAGACAAGGATGTGTGATGTCACCGTGGTTGTTTAATATATTTATAGATGGGGTTGTGAGAGAAGTAAATGCGAGGGTCTTGACAAGAGGCGTGGAGTTAAAAGATAAAGAATCACACATAAAGTGGGAGCTGTCACAGTTGCTCTTTGCTGATGACACTGTGCTCTTGGGAGATTCTGCAGAGAAGTTGCAGAGATTGGTGGATGAATTTGGAAGGGTGTGCAAAAGAAGAAAATTAAAAGTGAATACAGGAAAGAGTAAGGTTATGAGGATAACAAAAAGATTAGGTGATGAAAGATTGGATATCAGATTGGAGGGAGAGAGTATGGAGGAGGTGAATGTATTCAGATATTTGGGAGTGGACGTGTCAGCGGATGGGTCTATGAAGGATGAGGTGAATCATAGAATTGATGAGGGGAAAAGGGTGAGTGGTGCACTTAGGAGTCTGTGGAGACAAAGAACTTTGTCCTTGGAGGCAAAGAGGGGAATGTATGAGAGTATAGTTTTACCAACGCTCTTATATGGGTGTGAAGCATGGGTGATGAATGTTGCAGTGAGGAGAAGGCTGGAGGCAGTGGAGATGTCATGTCTGAGGGCAGTGTGTGGTGTGAATATAATGCAGAGAATTCGTAGTTTGGAAGTTAGGAGGAGGTGCGGGATTACCAAAACTGTTTTCCAGAGGGCTGAGGAAGGGTTGTTGAGGTGGTTTGAACATGTAGAGAGAATGGAGCGAAACAGAATGACTACAAGAGTGTATCAGTCCGTAGTGGAAGGAAGGCGGGGTAGGGGTCGGCCTAGGAAAGGTTGGAGGGAGGGGGTAAAGGAGGTTTTGTGTGCGAAGGGCTTGGACTTCCAGCAGGCGTGCGTGAGCGTGTTTGATAGGAGTGAATGGAGACGAATGGTTTTTAATACTTGACGTGCTGTTGGAGTGTGAGCAAAGTAACATTTATGAAGGGGTTCAGGGAAACCGGCAGGCCGGACTTGAGTCCTGGAGATGGGAAGTACAGTGCCTGCACTCTGAAGGAGGGGTGTTAATGTTGCAGTTTAAAAACTGTAGTGTAAAGCACCCTTCTGGCAAGACAGTGATGGAGTGAATGATGGTGAAAGTTTTTCTTTTTCGGGCCACCCTGCCTTGGTGGGAATCGGCCAGTGTAATAATAAAAAAAAAAAAAAAAAAATAGCACACTAATTATAAATCTAGGATTTTATATGCTAGATGCATTCATTACTAATAATATTTGGGAAACTTTCAGGATCAGTTGATAAGTCGCTTCTGACCCAACCTGACCAAGATTAATCATATAACCAAGTTAGATCTCAAAGTTAAGTGCATTCTTCAAATATGTAAATGCTGATTTCTTTCAATGCTTGATCCTCCGTCTGCCAAGAACGAGACACACAGGCTTCCTATTTAGATTCACTCAGGTCTCATTTTTATAATACAGTATATGAAAACTTCCAAAGTTGTTTTTAACAATTCAGCTAAAAAAAAATCTAGTGTCCCTTTTTTTTTTTATTAACACATCGGCCATTTCCCAGAGGCAGGTGACCCAAAAGACAGAAAAACCCCAAAAGAAAGAAAAAGACTTTCATCATCATTCAACACTCTCACCATCACTCATACATAATCACTCTCTCTCCAAACTGCCAATATCCCAAACCCCTTCTTTAAAATGCAGGCAATGTACTTCCAATTTCCAGGACTCAAGTCCGGCTAACAGGTTTCCCTGAATCCCTTCACAAAATATTACCCTGCTCACACTCCAAAAGCTCATCAGGTCCCAAAAAACATTCATCTCTATTCACTCCTACCTAACATGCTCATGCATGCTTGCTGGAAGGCCAAGCCCGTCACCCACGAAACCTCCTTTACCCCTTCCCTCCAACCTTTTCAAGGATGACCCCTACCCTGCCTTCATTCCCCTATAAATTTATACGCTCTCCATGTCATTCTACTTTGTTCCATTCTTTCTAAATGACCAAACCACCTCAACAATCCCTCTGCAGCCCTCTAGTACTTTTAGTAACTCCACATCTCCTAATTTCCACACTCTGAATTCTCTGCATAATATTTACACCACACATTGCCCTTAGACACGACATCTCCACTGCCTCCAGCTGCCTTCTCGCCACAGCATTTACAACCCAAGCTTCACACCCATATAAGAGTGTTGGTACCACTATACTTTCGTACATTCCCTTCTCTGCCTCCATGGATAACATTTTTTGTCTCTGCAGATACCTCAATGCACCACTCACCTTTTTTTCTTCATCAATTCTATGGTTAACCACATTTTTTATAAACCCATCTGCTGACAAGTCAACTCCTAAATACAGTGGACCCTCAACCAGTGATATTAATCCGTTCCTGAGAACTCATCGTTAATCGAAATAATCGTTAGTCAAGTTAATTTTCCCCATAAGAAATAATGGAAATCAAATTAATCCGTGCAAAACACCCCAAAGTATTGAAACAAAAAATTTTTACCACATGAAATATTAATTTTAATACACACAAACTGAAGAAGACATGCACAGTTACATGACATTTACCTTTATTGAAGATCTGGTGATGACTGATGGGATGGGAGGAGGGGAGACCGTTGATCTTCTTAATGTTTAGAAGGGGAATCCCCTTCCGTTAGCACTTGAGGTAGCAAGTCTTTTTCTGGGGTTACTTTCCTTGTTCTTTTAATGCCACTAGGACCAGCTTCAGAGCCACAGGACTTCTGTCACACAACATATCTGTCCATAGATACCTGTACCTCTCGTTCCTTTATGACTTTCCTAAAGTGGTTCACAACATTGTCAGTGTACAGGTTGCCAACACGGCTTGCAGTAGCTATGTCAGGGTGATTTTCATCAAAAAAGGTTTGCACTTCAAGCCACTTTGCACACATTTCCTTAATCTTAGAAGAAGACAACTTCTTCAATTTCTCTATCCCCTCCTCCGAAGCAGTTTCCTCAGGTCTGCCCTCTTGCTGTTCAAGATGATCTAGCAGTTCATCAGTGGTTAGCTCTTCATTGTCCTCCTCCACCAGCTCTTCCACATCCTCCCCACTAACCTCCAACCCCAAGGACTTCCCCAATGCCACAATGGATTCCTCAACTGGCATAGGATTCTCAGGGTTAGCCTCAAACCCTTCACAATCCCTTTTGTCTACACATTCTGGCCACAGTTTTTTCCAAGCAGAGTTCAAGGTCCTCTTAAGTCACTTCCTCCCAAGCCTTACCTATAATGTTTACACAATTGAGGACGGTAAAATGATCTTTCCAAAACTCTCTTAAAGTCAGTTGAGTTTCTGAGGTCACTACAAACCACCTTTCAAACATAGCTTTTGTGTACAGTTTCTTGAAGTTGGAAATGACCTGCTGGTCCATGGGCTGCAGGAGAGGAGTGGTATTAGGAGGCAAAAACTTGACCTTAATGAAGCTCATGTCCCTAGAAAGTCGCTCTGCCAAGTCTGAAGGATGACCAGGAGCATTGTCTAATACCAGGAGGCACTTAAGGTCTAATTTCTTTTCAATTAGGTAATTTTTCACATTGGGGGCAAATGCATGGTGTAACCAGTCATAGAAAAAGTCCCTAGTGACCCATGCCTTACTGTGCCCTCCACAGCACACACAAATTAGCCTTGACGACATTGTTTTTCCTAAACACTCTGGGAGTTTCAGAGTGATACACCAATAAAGGCTTCACTTTGCAATCACCACTAGCATTGGCACACATCAACAGAGTAAGCCTGTCTTTCATAGGCTTATGTCCTGGGAGTGCCTTTTCCTCCTGAGTAATGTACGTCCTGCTTGGCATTTTCTTCCAAAACAGGCTTGTTTCGTCACAATTAAACACTTGTTCAGGTTTCAGTCCTTCACTGTCTATGTACTCCTTGCATTCCTGCACATATTTTTCAGCTGCTTTGTGGTCCGAACTGGCAGCCTCACCATGCCTTATCACACTATGAATGCCACTACGCTTCTTAAATCTCTCAAACCAACTTTTGCTGGCCTTAAATTCACTCACATCACTAGTTGCTGGCATTTTTTAAATTAAATCCTCATGCAACTTCCTAGCCTTTTCACATATGATCGCTTGAGAGATGCTATCTCCTGCTATCTGTTTCTCGTTTATCCACGCCAATAAGAGTCTCTCAACATCTTCTACCGCTTGCGATCTCAGTTTCAAAAACATAGTTGCACCTTTGGCAAGAACAGCTTCCTTGATTGCCGTTTTCTTGCCCACAATAGTAGCAATGGTTGATTGGGGTTTATTATACAACCTGACCAGCTCAGAGACATGCACTCCACTTTCATACTTAGCAATGATCTCTTTCTTCATCTCCAAAGTGATTCTCACCCTTTTTGCTGTAGGGTTGGCACTAGAAGCTTTCTTGGGGCCTATGGTGACTTATTTTGCAGGTGCAATCACTACAAAGGCTGTGATAATATGAAATGTTCCAGTTGTATGTTTGGAAGCAACCACGGTGGCTGGTTTGTAAACACTGGCACCCACGGGACAAGTGAGGCGCGCTCAGGCCAAAGTGGACGCGTCCCGTATGGAACGAATAGCGCTGGTCGGATTTTTAACCCTTAAACGGTCCAAACAGATCGACGTTCAAATTCGTAGTGCTACAAAAGTATTTTTGCGTTAAAATGTATCGCTAGTCAGATTTATCGTTAATCGATGCCATCGCTGGTTGAGGGTCCACTGTATCTGAAAACATTCACTTCTTCCATACTCCCTCTCTCCAATGTGATATAAAATTTTTTTTTTTTATCTAGGATCGTTTGATACCCTCATCACCTTACTCTTATCAACTTTCTACCTTTACACACCCTCTGAAACTAATCCGCTAACCTTTGTTTAGAATCTCCCAAAAGCACATCATCATCAGCAAAAAGTAACTCAACTCCCATTTTGTATTTGATTCCCCATAATATAACTACACCCCTCTCCCCAACACCCTAGCATTTACTTCTTTTACAACCTTATCTATAAATATAATAAACATCTTGCTCCTTAAAATTTAAATTTATATACAGTACTGCAGTATTTGATACACCTGCCAATGTTTCCACAATTTTTGTTATCCTTGCTGAAATTAAAGGGTGACTATATCACTGATAGCAAAAATGGTAGAATTTTTCAGTGAACGTTTTCAGTTCTCCAAGAATTCAATAAGATAAAAATGACTGGGAGATCACTTAATAGTGACTGGAGGTATTACAGCACTACCTGGAAAATCAAAGCAAAATGCAAATCTCTATAGGAAACATTTCAGGCATTAATAGTTTCAGAAGCCATTAATGCTAAGTGAATGGTTCAATGCATGCAAGATCACTTGGCGACAAATGAGGTGGTGACATTACCTGGCAATAGCGAGAAATGAGTCGTTGGTAAGTAACTCTGTTGGGCTCTATGCCATTTTTCTCAAGATCAGCCAAGAATTTCGTTGGTGAGAACTTGTGTTCATTTTCCAGATAAACACGTAGAAGGGTATTATAATGGCTTATGTCCAGAGGAATGTCTGCAATAATAAACTATAAAATCAGCCTTATAGTAAACACCAGCTATATTGACCTAAACATCTTGAGTGAGTAATGGAGATAACATTCTAGGCAATGCTATTTAAATGTGCTGAGAATGTGTTCTTATACAAAAATTAATGATCTGCTATGTTTAGACAAAAAATCATAAACATTATTTTTTCAACGAACCAACTGTATCTCACCACGGCAGGGTGTTCTAAAAGTAAAAACAAAAGTCTCTCTTTTAAAATTTAATAATTTATACAGAAGGGGTTACTAGCCCCTTGCTCCTGACATTTTAGTCACCTCTTACAACAAACATGGCTTACAGAGGAAGAATTCTTTTCCACTTCCCCCATAGTATGCTAAGTAAATAAAAAAGTCTAATAAGTTTACTTGTTTATGGCAAGCAATGAACTCATGTATATGGGAGAGAGATGATACTGATAGTAGTATCCAATGCACTGAAGTGCAACTGGGCAGGGCAATAAAAAAAAAGAGGCTGTCACTAGAAAGATAATTTAAATATAGTTTAATTCATCCACAAGAAACCTTTAGCAATGGGTAGAATTTACTCCAAATCTGAATGATTTGACGGATAGCATCAAGAGACTCGTCAAATTCATGGGTCAAAATCACATATACAGCATGTACTGAATTCTACCGACAGAGAGCCATCGGAACCTGCTGCTTCAATGGCAAGAAAGTGTAACAAAACTTACGGTAGGCAGAGCAGCACGTTTTGAAAACACAAGTGCCATGGTGGCCAATACCCTCTCTTTAAACTTTCCAGGGAATGATCAGTCTCGGGAATATTGAAAATTTATAAAAACGAACCCCTTTCAATTATTATGCACAAAAAGGAAAATTTTTCCTTAACGGGGCCCAATTATTGTAATATCACTTAGCAGCTTTTTTGGGTTTCTTACTTCATAAAACAAAAAAAATTTACTTAAATTTTTAAAGGGCCCTATATATCTTCCTATGAATAATTTTGAATTACTAAGTTTCCCCAATCCCCCTTTTGTTGAAAAATTTTCATTAATTTTTCGAAACCCAAAACAAAAAAAAATAAAATTTTTCAAAAAATTAAATTTAAACCCTTTCAGTTTTTGGGCAAATTTTGGGATAACAGCTTTACATTTAACTGCAAATTGGGGCTGCATGCAAAATTTATCACATTCAAATGTATAAAGGGGGAATGAGACAGTTTTGGGGTTCACCTTTTTTTTAAATTTGCAAACATTCCCCTTTAAAATTTTTATTTGAAAAATTTTTCTGATTTCCCAAATTATACTTTTTCACAAAATATTCAAATATTTATTCAGTAGTTTTTATACTAAATATTTAGAAAATCTGAAAAATTGACCACTAACAAAATTTTAAAAATTTCCCCATGGAAAAAATGAAAAATTTTTTAAAAAACTTACGCAATTAAATTTTAATGTATCCCAGATTTTTTGGGACCAACTTTTTTTGCAAAATTTCAGGCAGCTCTTTCGGGGACTAGACTTCCAAAACAACGAAGCAATAACAGCCCTGGGTACTTAAAAGCATGCTCTTTTAAAAGATAATAAACCCAAAAGTAATGAAATTGGCAACTTAAAATCAATATGCTTTTGGAATAGGTATACGTAATTCTAAACACCTCGCACAAAACAAACACCATTAAACCAGACCTGTTTGGGGGGGGAAATTTTTTGAATTTACTTTCATTTCCCCGTATCATGTTTTCCCAGATAATTTTTTGGGGGGGAGGGAAAGGGAAAACAATGGGGGGAAAAAGTTTTTTTTCCAGTCTGAAAGGGGGTGCTTGACATGTCAATAAACCCCAAAAGGCATCCCCCTGACCCTTTTTCTGTTTTTAAAAAGTCCCACATGCTTTTTTTAACCCATTTTTTAAAAAATTTCCCAAACTTACCATAATGCCAAGTCAATGTTTTTAAAATTTCTAAACCCATTTCTCCCGCCCGCTAAAAATTTGAAGGAGGGTTTTTGGGTAATGAGAATTTAATGGGGTCGAAAATTGTCTACTAGAGGAGACTAAAAACTCTACTAATAACAAAACCCCCAAGAGAGAGAACAAAAAGGGGGACAGATTTCTGACTAAAAATTCTTTAGGAGGGCTAAATAGATTGGACGGTGGCAGGGAGTTTGATTTTGAAAGGGGGGATTTTAAAAAAACATGGCTGCTAAAGGCAGAAAAAAATCCAAAAGGAACCCTTTAAAAAAAATTTTTTAATCTCCATGGTAGTAAATGGAATGAAAAATGAGAAAAAATTTATGGAAAACAAGCCAAACCCTTCAAGTTCTAAAAGTATTATCCCCGGCCCTAAAGGGGCCCGGTAAAAAGTACGGTACTTTTAAAAAGGGGGAGGATGGATATTTTTCAATCGATCCTTTAACCTTTTTTGTGCAAAGTGCCTGTGTGTGTGCGGACTGTGTGTTTTGTGCCGTGGTGTGTTCCTTTTGTGTGTGTGCCTGTGTGTGGGGGGTTTGCGACCTGTGTGTTTGTTTTGCCTGTGTGTGTGTGCGTTTCAACCCTTTTTTGTGTGTGCCTGTTTGTGTGGGCCGTGTGTGTTTGTTGTCCTGTTGGTGTGTGTGGGCCCGTGTGTGTGTGTTTTGGGGTGTGTGGGTTGTGTTTTGTGTGTGTGTGGTGTTGTGTGTGGTTGGGGTGGTTTTTGTGTGTGGTGTGTGTGTGTGTGTGTGTGTGTTTGTGTTTTGTGTGTGGTTTTTGCCTTGTGTGTGTGTGTGTGTGCCTGTGTGTGTGTTTTGTGGCCTTTGTTTGTGTGTGTGCCTGTGGTGTGTGGTGTGCCTGTGTTTTGTGTGTGTGTGCCCTGTGTGTGTGGGGGTGTGTTTCCTGTGTGTGTGGGTGTGTGTGTGCCCCGTTTGGTGTGTGGGTGTGTGTGGGGTGCCTGTGTGTGTGTGTGGGGGTTTTCTGTGTGTGTGGCCTTGTGTTTTGTGTGTGGCCCCCTTTTGGTGTGTGTTCCGTGTGTGTGTGGTTTTTTGGCCTTTTGTGTTGGTGTGTGCCTGTGTGTGGTGTGTGTGTGTGGGCCCGTGTGTGGTTTTTGTCCTGTGTGGGGTGTGTGTTTTGTGTTGTTGTGTGGTGTGTGTGTTGTGTGTGTGTGTTTGTGTGGTGTGGGTGTGTGTGTTGTGTGTGTTGTGGGGTGTTGTGTGGTGTGTGTGTCCTGGGGTGGGGGTGTGTGTGCCCGGTGGGTTTTGTGTGCTGTGTGTTAGTGGGGTGTGTTGTGTTGGTGTGCCCGTGTGTGTGTGTGTGTGCCTGTGTTGTGTGCCCGTGTGTGTGTGGGGTGCCTGGTGGTGTGTGTGGCCTGTGTGTGGGTGCCCCGTGTGTGTGTTGGGGGTGTGAGGGGGGGGGGGGGGGGGTGGTGTGTGTGTGTGTGTGGTTTTGGGTTTTGTGGTGTGTGGGTTTTTTGTGCCCGTGTGTGTGTGTGTGTTTTGTGTGTGTGTGCGTGTGCACGCATGACGCACCAAAGCACACAAAAATACAATATGAAGAAAAGTTTTTATAGTCTTTTTAAAATTTAAATTTGATGTAATTTTAAAAACTAGAGAGAATTTTTTAAAATTACTTTTTAAATTTTTTTGTAGTCATTATTTACTTGTACAAAATTTTAGTGAACTAATTTAGAGTTTTAGGGGAAGAAAAATTTTTAATAACTTATAATTTTTTGGGCTTATTTTATAACGTATTTTTTCTATATACATGAACCATAATAAAAATGAAAACCCGGGTTTTAAAAATTAAAACAAACATAGATTATATAAAAAACCCGCCCAAATTTAAAATGGAAAAAAAGAAAAACTAAAAACCCTACTCAAGGGGTTTGATTTCGCCCCAAAATATCCTCAATATCTTTTTTTAATATGCGTCCCCTTTCCTTTTGAAAATCAGTATCAAACGTTTTAAAGCTTTTTCAATTCCTTGCGTAAGTGACGATCCACCTTTGACATTTTCTACTAGCTTCTGTGCCCACAGCAATCTGAAAAAGAAAAAAAAAAAATTAAGAAAAATATATACCCAAATGAAAATCAACATAGAACAGTTTTTTTACAATTTACAGTATATAAAAAAAAGTTAAAAAAAACCCGTGATCTCATCAACATTCTAAGTTGTAATCGATATTTTCCTACTGGTAAAAAAGTTTTTTCCACGTATAACAAATACTAAACTAACAAATATATTGTACTTCAATGTATCTATAAGTTTTGTAGATGAATGGTTCACGAACCCACAGATGATAAATCAGACACATGGCAACACTTGGGATTTTTTTAAAATTTGGGGGAAAGTTTCGCCACAGTGGGCTTTCAACCCGTCCAAAACAAAGGGGAAAGGGAAGAACAGGATTACCTCAAAAATCCCCCTGTTCTTCCCGTTCTCCTTTTTATGGAAATGATGAAACCACTGTATAGCGAAACGTTTTTCCCAATAAAAAATACCCAAGTGTTTCACGTGTGTCTTTAAATTTTTCACCTAAAAACATCTATGTGTCCTCAAGACAAAAAAAAAAAAATGGGAAAACCATTTTATTTTTTCATGAAAAAATTTTTCCTGACTAAACCAAAAATGCTGATGGAAAAAAAGTTATATTTTAAAAAGTTTTCCCAAGATTTCCGCTAGGATAACTCACCGTGTTTTTTTGATTTAAGTCAGTGGGTTCACCATAAACAGTGGACCCCCCCCCATAACGATCGCTTTCCCCAAATCGACCAAATTTTGGGAGTGTAAATTTTTTTAAGTCCTTTTTTAGGTGTATTTTTTTGGGGTTTAGAAACGGGGGCTAAAACTAAATTTACAAAATTTCCCTTTTGGGAACAAATTTTTGGGCTATAACGGGACCCAAAAAAACTTCGGGGTTGAAAAAAATATCGTTTTTGGGGGGTCAAACCCGTAATTTTTTGTAAGTGGGCATGTAAAGACAGTAGTAAAAAATCGAAACATTACCTACTGTCAGTACAACTCTGACATGCATTTTCGAAGAGTCGGATTTTGATTTAGATCATCTCATATACATGTACAAAATATACAATACAATAATTTTTTTTTTTTTTTATCACACTGGCCGATTCCCACCAAGGGAGGGTGGCCCGAAAAAGAAAACTTTTCCCCTCATTCACTCCATCACTGTCTTGCCAGAAGGGTGCTTTCACTACAGTTTTTAAACTGCAACATTAACACCCCTCCTTCAGAGTGCAGGCACTGCACTTCCCATCTCCAGGACTCAAGTCCGGCCTGCCGGTTTCCCTGAACCCCTTCATAAATGTTACTTTGCTCACACTCCAACAGCACGTCAAGTATTAAAAACCATTTGTCTCCATTCACTCCTATCAAAAAAACGCTCCGCATGCCTGCTGGAAGTCCAAGCCCCTCCACACAAAACCTCCTTTAACCCCCTCTCTCCAACCTTTCCCAGGCCGACCCCTAACCCGCCTTCCCTTTCCACTACAGACTGATACACTCTAAGTCATTCTGTTTCGCTCCATTCTCTCTACATGTCCGAACCACCTCAACAACCATTCCTCAGCCCTCTGGACAACAGTTTTGGTAATCCCGCACCTCCTCCTAACTTCCAAACTACGAATTCTCTGCATTATATTCACACCACACATTGCCCTCAGACATGACATCTCCACTGCCTCCAGCCTTCTCCTCGCTGCAACATTCATCACCCATGCTTCACACCCATATAAGAGCGTTGGTAAAAACTATACTTCATACATTCCCCTCTTTGCCTCCAAG